ATCATGACCTGAGCTGCAGGCAGAGGCTTAACCCACTGAGCCACCCAAGCACCCTGATAGGATTTTTTAAAATAAAAAAGTTTTCTAGGTAAATACAGCGTGGTACAAACCAGGGCCTGACAACCACCTCCATCACTGCTAGAGGGAGTCCCGGGGCCTTCCCTGAGGCCTGGGCAGTGGTGTGTGGCCCGCTCTCTGGGCTACTGGGAACGAAGGGGGCCTGACCCCCTGCCGGGTGTGGAGAGCAGGTTCTCAGGGTGCCCATGAGGGCATTGTGTGGCCTGGACCCTCCGTCTGGTCTGGCCTTAACTCACAGCCCATCCCAGGCACAGAACTGGCTGCTGGAAGGAAGCAGCTGCTTATGTGTCGTGAGGACAGTGCCTGACCTGGGGTTAAGGGACAGCGGGAGGCTGAGGAAGGGTACACAGGTGCATTCCCTGAACACGGCTGCAGATGCTAACAGCGGGTGGCCCCTGGGGCCGAGGAGGACAATCTCCCACGAGGACACTCCGGCCGCACTGATGCTCTAGAAGGAGCACAATTCCCCCTGTCAGAACCTGTTAGATGGGAAGGCTTGGGCTTCCTCTCGGGAAGTGAGGCATGTGGAACTAGAGGGGGAGGTGGCACACCATGATCCCCCGATAGCCCTGAGGGTTGGTTAGGCTGGATGCTGGGCCATCCCCACAGAGGGGCCATGTGAGAGCAGGTGCTGGTGGGGGTGCGGGAGGGGGGACCCCAGGGTGGGCTGAGCTCCGCACAGACACTGGCCACTGCTCACGGAAGCCGCCGCAGCTGAGGGAGTCAGCCGTCTGCAGTGTCCCCGGCTACGGCCCTGTACCCAGGGCCACCCCTCCCCCTGGGAACAGCCGATGCCACCATCTCCATGTCAATCACAAAATGACCAAATGATACTAAGCACACTTACAGTGAGAAGTAGTTGCTGCAGGGAGTTTAGGGGTACCCCCAACTGTGGGCCCCAGAAATACTCACCCATCTCCCCTCCAGAATTGCCTAGCTGGGGACAGCAGCACTGGGGATCCTGCTCAGGGGCCAACAGGCTCCGGGGGTGGGGGTGGCGGGGAGGAAGCCGGCTCCTGGGACCTCAGGAAAGCGTCCTGGGGCAGGGGCGCCGCAGCTCCTGAGGACTGGGAAACTCCGGCCTGGCCACAGGCTTGTGTAAAGGCCTTGAGGCAGCAGAGGAACTGAAAAACAGCCTACCCCGAGAGCCGGCCCCAGGGACCAACGCAAACCAGGCCGGCCACTTTAGGGCGGGGCAGCAGGAAGGGGCCTGGGGAACCCGAGTGCTGTGGGGGACACCTGGGAGAAACAGAGAGCATTAGGAACAGGGGTGCTGCCTGCGGTGTGAGGAAGATAAGGAAAGAGAGAAGCAGTTTCCCAGAAGAGGCAGAGGCAGAGGCCTTAGCCGCTCCAGGAGGGGCGGAGGGGTGGAGGGGCTCCAGTACCGGGAGGAGCCCCACCAGACGGGCATCTGCGCAGCTGCAGAGAAAACGGTTCCTGCGGTTCTCTGTGTGGGATATCGGTTCACCCAATCGGAAGGTCTTTCCCAATGTTCGGAAAGACATTACCGTGGATCGCTGCGAACCCCCAGGTAGAATCCCCTCCCGTTGCGCGAGGAGGACTTGTTGATACCGGGCTCCCGTGGGTCAGGGCTTGGAGTGATTCTGGACTGAGACTTTGGACCAAAGCCCCGGAGGCTGTTCCCCTCGCTGTTTGCAGGACGGCACCGTGACCAGGAGTAAACAAAATCCGGACGGACTTGGCCTGCACTGACTGCAGCAGCGAGAGCAGCAGAGCGTGTCTCCTTCTGGAGGAGAGAGATCCAGCCTCAGGCAGGGGCCTGCTGGTCTCCCGCACACCTCTGGGTCACCATTCCCTGCACACTGCCCCCCCCCACCCCGCATTCCCCAGACGTTCTCACAGGAAGTACTTCAGTGAGGTTCCGCTGGCTGGCAGTAATTTTATTTAGGACCCAAGTGAACCTGGATGAAACTAAGATTTGGCGGCCAAGCCACACGCCAGTCTAGTCTCACTTGGTCCCTCACGGTTCTTCATTCATTCGGATGCTCCAAAGTGTCAGTCGGGTGAAGTCCATTTCTCAGCCAATAACCAACGTTCACCTCTGCTGGGGTCCCGTGCCCACGCAAGAGAAGCTGGGCAGGGTCCATGGACACTCTGTGGGATCTTTGCCTCTCTCTGGTAAATCTAAAATTATTTCCTAGTTAAAAGTTACAAACACTGAATCTATTAAATATGAAATACTTAAGGGTACTATAAAGGCCTTATGGGTTCAGGAAACAAATAAGAAAAATCTGAAAGCCTGAAATCCTCAGAGTTTTCTAAACCAAGGTGCCCTGAAAAACTCAAAAAGTTAATCCCGCAGCTTATAAAAGCAGGGAAATTTGAAATACGAATTTTTATTCATCAATTAGAACTATGAAAATTTCCTAATACAAATGACTTACTCTTGTATAAATTTTTTTTTTTTCGCAAAACTCATGTTCTGAAGCCCAAAAGGCATAGAGTCCACGTTAAGAAATTGTTTAATTTAATGAGCTGGTTTAAATTACATGATTTACTTGTTTATTTATTAATTGATAAGTAAACTCCATGCCCAATGTGGGACTCAAACTTACGACTCTAAGACCGAGAGTCCCAGGCTCTTCCAAATGAGCCAGAGAGGAGCCCCCAAAATAAATTTTTTAAATGCTTCTAGAAAAATGAATGGTAATTTCTCATGCAGTTCCATAAAATACTAGTGATTTTTAACATCAAAAGCAACTTTTATGGGGCGCCTGGGTGGCTCAGTTGTCAAGCGTCTGCCTTCGGCTCAGGTCATGATCTTGGGGTCCTGGGATCAAGCCCCACGTTGGGCTCTCTGATCGGCAGAACCTGCTTCTCCCTCTCTGTGCTCTCTCGCTCTCTTTCCTCTCCCTTTCTCAAATAAAATAAAAAACTTAAAAAAAAAAAAAGCAAGTTTTAGGTAGTAAGAAATCATAAAGAATATTAACAAAACACATTGTATTTGGGAACACCTGATACGTAACAAGGATGATAAATAGGAATTTAAAAAGAAAGTAATAACCACACATACCTCTCCATTCAACAGGCCAGCCAGGAAGAAGACCGCCCGCCCGGGGGACGACGGCTGCGCGTGCATACAGAGACCTCACGCTGGACACCGACACGGTGGCTAAGCCTCACAGGCCCTCCTCGGCTGCACCTCTGGGAAGGCCAGACAGGGCCCTGGGGCAGCCGCAGAGACTCCCCAGGGCTCACTCAGGGGACAAGCAATCCCCCAGTCCCCCTGCAGAGGGAGCCCGGAAACAGCGCTGGGACACCGTTGCCGGGACACCGTTTTCAAAGGGCTGCAATGTTCCATGTGATGCCCCGACCAGTACGGCGAGGGTGCATTTTCCGGCGCCCACCCCACTCGGGGGCGCGCCCCGGGGAGCCCCTGGAGGCCCCCGTGGTTGAAGAGACCAGACTTGGACCCTCAGAGTTCATGTAACAAGACCATGTTTAATCAACACCGAAGTTGGCGCTACGACTCAGGGCTGTGGGGGCTCAGAGGAGGGGGGACAAGGGTGGCAGTGGGGGGGGTGAGCAGTGACACTGCCTCCCAGCACCTCTCTTCTCACTAGGGACTCACACTGTCCCTGCGGAGCCTCTCGAGAGTCCCGTGGGGACAGCAGAGCAGGATGACCGGCCCCCTTTTACAGCTGGAGCAACAGTGTTCCAGGCAGGTTCGTGGCTTGCCCAATGCCTCCCAGGGCTCCTGGTCCTTCCTCTTGCACCATGGTGGCAGGGCTCTGGGGAGACTGGAGTCGGGGGGCAGGGGAGGGCCAATGCCCCACAGGAGGAGCAAGCGAGACGGAGATAGCAGAGGTGTGGCACGTGGGGACACTGAGGGGCTGGCTGCAGCCACATGGGGACCAGGCTGGGGGGCGGGACCCCCAGCACCTGTGACCCAGGCTGCCACAGTCCCAAGAAGCTGCTTGGGTGTCCTCCCCCAGGTGCCCAGGCCCTCAGGACCTGCTGAGGGCTGTCACGAGGCAGGAGACCACTCCCCGACCAGTCTTCACGTGGCACCTACAGTCTGCAGGGCCCCTGTGGGGCCAGGCTGGGCAGGGAGAGGGGCAGGGGAGGCAGCACAAGAAAACCAACCACACGGCTGTGAGAGGGGCGTGGAGGGGCGTGTGATGGCACCGCAGGGGAGGGATCTGGGGAGCAGGCAGCCCTAACAAGCTGGGGTGCCTGGGGATGGACGAAGACCAGCATGCCACGTTGGGGAGTCTGGACAGGACCCTGGGGCCACTGTAGACTGTGGGGGAGTGGAGGTGGCCCCGGGCAGAGAGCAGGAGAGCTGCAGAAGCCCCCCTGGGTCCGGGCTTCTCCTGGACATGGAACTGGCTGGTTTGGGGTCAGCCACGGAGGGCCCCTCCCTGGGCCATCCTGGGCAGCCTCTTCAGGGATGGGCCCACAGCGAGGCCCAGCAGAAGCCTCAGGCTCTGAAATGCAAGAACCCGTGATGTCCCCTCCAGCCCTTTATCATACTGGTGCTCGGCGCTCCCTCAGGAGGGGCCCAGAGCTCAGCACAAATTCTGCCCTCCCCTCCTTCCCCCTGCCTTTGCCATCCAACAGTCAGCCACAGGAGGCAGCACGGGGAGGAGGGTATGGGTGAGAGGAGGTGGGAGGGGGAGGGGGACATGGCCAAGGAGCCGTCCCCAGAGTGCCTATTTCTTCTGGGGAGCCGCCAGAGCCAGCCACTGGCCAGGTGGCCACCCACCCACAGGACCAGTGGTGGCCACCGGCCTCTGCTCAGGCGCTATGCTACGAGGCACCAGCAGGGGGTGCCATGACCCCAGACTTGATAGAAGGTTTCTTCTGCCTTTCCTGTCCTGGCACCGCACCAAGGGACTGAGACTGCGTACGTGGCCCCGCTAGCCTCGGGCACAGGATGCCTCCACGGAGCACTGGGGCCTGAGCCCACGCTCGAGACAGCAGCAGGTCTGAGCAGGGACAGGCCCAGCCGGCTGAAGTCCCGGCATCCCCTGGCCGGCCCAGCCCCAGAGCCCCAGTTGCACCTTGACATTGGCCACTGGCACGGCACAGGGGAGAGGAGGGGACCTCACTTACTGCCTCCCCCTGAAGAGGGGGCCTGGCCTCTGCCCCACCCCACCCCGTGGTGACGGCTCAGTCACCGTCCGTGCAGGTCCGTCACTGGGTGTCAGGGTCTTGGAAACCCCAGGCCTCCACAGCCGCGATGAGGAAGTTCTCAGAGCACAGGGGCTGGTTGTTGAAAGTGTCACAGTGGCCAGTGCGGCCCCGGTTTAGGTCCCCATCGATGTAGAGCGCCTGGCCGCCCCCTCCACCTGCGGGATGCTCTGGTCAGTGGCCGCTCCTCTGTCCAGCACTGCCCCCCCGAGACCCTCTCCCCACTCCTCAGCATCTCCCCTGGGACGGGGTAAGCCTCCTAGCTGTCCCTGCCCTGGCCCTCCCAGATACTTCTCCGAGACCACAGGGCGACCCAGGGTCCCCCACCACGCACCCTCCTGTCCCCACTCCCACTCCTGTACCTGCTCCAGCCCCCACAATTCTCTTCCTCTGCCCATCCCTTGGGGGAGGCACCTGCCATGCAGGACCTCCGTGCCCCACGGCCCTGAGCCCATCTCCCAGGCTAAGTGACCAAGGGTGGGCGGGTGGGACCAAGCACGGGGAGCAGAGGGGTGCCCACCTACGATGAGGCAGTCATTGCCCCCAGCCATGAACATGGACTCCGTCTTGGAGGGCAGGTTGAAGTGACGGGCAGCCAGGAAGGGTGAGAGGCGGTCAGCAGGGTCGGAGGACACGGGGCGGCACGGCGGCGACAGGGCGCCGGGGGCCTCCGAGGACACAGGCTTGGTCAGCTCTGGGTGTTTGATGACCACCCACTCGTAGCGCTGGACCTCGGGCTGCAGCTGAGGGCAAAGGGGCAGCCGGAGTCACCGCGCACAGTCCCCCCGCCAGGCCCTCCTGCCCACGCCCCCCACCAGTCTCAGTACCAGACCCCGCGCCCGGGCTAGGGAGATGGTACACGTGGCCAAGGCCCGCTGCGCTCACGCACTGTCATCTGACCCTGACCTTCCCCCCGTGAAGCCAACGTGGGGGGGGCCCTGTGGGGTGAGCAGCCGGCAGCCTCACTCACCCGAAACACGAAGCACTCTCCAGTCCCAAAGAAGCCCACTTTGCCTCCAAACTTGTTCCTCTCACTCCAGTCTGTTGACAGGTAAGCCCCACACACCTGGGGAGAAAGGCCCAGGGCATGAGGCCGCACCCCACCTGCCTGCAGAAGCACCCCTCGCTCACAGCCGGGCGGCACTGTGGGCACAGCTGCACCCCCGGCCCAACCCGAGGCCAAGGGCCGGAGGTGGCCTGCGGTGTGGGGACGTCAGAGTCTGGAGGGCAAGGGGCAGGTGGCCACCTCGGCTTGTCAGGGGTACTTCTGTTTCCATCCTTGGCCCTCAAGCATGGTGAGGAGCCCACAGCCGCACTTGGACTTCGGCCATCAACCCCAGGGGTGCCCCTCACGCAGAAGCTTCCGAGATGACCGCACTCTACGGTGTTCCCCAATCCTGCCAGCCAGCAAAGTGCTACATTTCACCAACAGACTCAGTCCTTCGAGTGGCTGCAGTCTTTGTCCCCCGTGTCTGACACTGAGTCCCTTGCTAGAAGGCAGACACAGGATTGGGGCGGGGTGAGGAACCTAACACTCCCAGGGGTGTGGGTTTGGAAGCCAAGGAACAAGGAGCCTCTGCGGGGAGCACAAGGCCCTAGAATGGAGGCCTGGGAGTTCCGACTTTCCTAGATGCTCCAGGACACTTTCCAGGTGACAGCTACTGCAGAGGACTGCCCGATGACAACTATCTGTCTGTCGGCAGGGGAGGGGGGTGAAGACAGCGGGTGGCCGGCAGGTAGGGCCTTGCTCACTAGGCCATCTCTGCAAAGCTCCTCAAAGCCAGGCCCTGGGGGGTCAGGCTGCTCCCACAGGGGAGCCCCAGGGGAGACAGGCGGTCCCTCAGGGGGCTGGGGTCCCCCTCCGTGGAGGGCCCACCCCACCCTGTGCACCTAAGAGCAGGGAGCCTGGGTGGAAGCTTCAGGGCGGCTTTCCCGCCCCCCCCCCGGAGCTCAGCAGACGCAAAGACCCCTCCTCACCTCCTTCTGCGTGGTCTTGATGAGCAGGAGGGTGGGCTCATGTCCTTCACACTGGAGATAGAACCTGGAAGCAAAGACCATACACAGCAGCCTGGCATCGTGCTCGGTGCCCCCTTGGGCCACAGCCTCTGGTGCTCATCACATCTGAGAAGCCTGGGCTGTCTGCGGTAGACGGGCCTGGGAACTGTGTTGCCCTGTGTCCCGGGGACCAAGCATGATGGCCAAGGACCTGGGACCTGGCAAGGCCTTGGCCTGGACACTTCTCAGCTAAGACAGAGCCCAGGCCAGGCAGCCTGCAGCCACAGTCACCTACCCCAGACCATCGGCCCTGGTATGATGTAGGGGAAGTCGCACGCAGGCCACCCTCAGCAGGCGCAGCCACGTGCCAGATGCTCCAGGGAGACTAGACCAGAGGAACAGGTCCCTGCTCTAGGAGAGCTTGGAACATGCCTTGGGGCCTGCGCCGGGAGACAGCCAACACTGGGAAGTGCCCGAGGAGGCCTGACAGTGCCCTGTGGTGGCACCAAGCGCCTGGGGCTCGGCGTACATCCCCGGGGGCCCTGCCCATCTATCCTGCTCTCCGGCCGGGGCTCCCGCAGGGCGCAGAGTTGGGGAGCAGCTGAATGTATCTCTAACTATGCCACATGCATGGGGTCACCTGGGACTGAAGCCAGAAACTTCTGAGGCCACCTGCTGTCTCGGGCTCAACGGGGGCTGTGCCCGGTGGAGCTGCCATGGGAGGTGGCACAATCTGAGGGTGCCCAGCCAAAGTTCCCTGGACCCACCTGTGGACCAGCCAAGTGGGGTCGGGAAGTAGTGACCCGAGGCCTACCAGCACGGTCATCTGTGCTAGAATCCTGTACGCTCCTGGGTGGGGATTCTGCTTCCCTGGTCGTCCCAGCACCCACACAGAAGCCTGAAGCCAGGCTGTGTATTCACGGCACGGAGCCCTCGCGTGTGGGAGGCTTGGGAGTAAGAGGAGTCCGGGAAGAGGGGCTCCCACTCCAGGGCCCCCGGGAATATCCAGGGGCCCATCTCCAGCCACCACCACAACGTTCTGGAGTGGCCCACAGCTCACTCTGTCCCCCCACATCCGCAGGCCCCGGAGCCCAGGCCAGTGTGTGCTGCTCTCCTGGGGGTTACCTGGTCAGGCTGTACCCGTGCTGCAGGGACGAGAAGAGGAGGAGGGGCTGGCACAGGGCGAAGCGTTCAGGGACCCATGACCAGATGTCTCTCATCTCCTTCACACTGACGATCTCTGAGTGGAAGTTCTCCGCGTGCACGGCCAGGTGCACAAACTGCCTGGGGAGAGTGGGGAGGGCTCAGAGTACGGCCTGGACCCCAGCCCCGATTGCCTCCCCCACACCCTGGAGGGATGCAGAGCCTCTCGTGTAAGCTAAGCCTGCAGGGGGCTCCTCACCTACGGAGGGAGAAACGGGATGGTGCTGACCCCTGGAGCCCCGCTCCCAGAGGTTACAGAGGGGAGAGCACCGGCCTGGGCCAGGACAAAAGCACCTTTTCCCTAATAAACGGGGACAGACACGGAGCCAGCTCTGGCAAGACAAGGTTTCAGAGCCAGCCAAGCACTGACAGACAGCAGAGGTGAGGCAGCAGCGCAGACAGAGCAGAAACAACAGCCAGGCTTCCAGGCAGCGTTGCCGAAGCCGGTCCTGAGAGCCGGAGCAAGCAGCCAGGCCCTGGGACAGCCAGGCCGGGAGACGGAGAGAGGCCAGGCACGGACGTGTGGTTAACAGACCTACCTTTTAGAGAGTGAAACACTGAAAAACAGGAGGAAGCAACGGACACAGAGAAGAGGAAGAAAAACAAAACAGACAAGGACAGGTTAGTGGCAGATACTGACGGCCGGGACGCACCTGCCTGTGGCCCAGGAGAAAGGCCTCTGTACCGATGGCCTGGTCAGGCCGAGACAGTGCAGGGATGGTGTGGGGACGCTGTGGGCCCTTCCCAGCCCGGCTCCCCCAGGTGCTGTGCTCAGGGCAGGGGGCATACCCAGCAGCCACGAGGACAGCAAGCAAGGGAGCCCAGAGCAGGAGGGGCAGAGCAGGGGCGGCTCTGAAATGATATTCGACGGTCAGCCAGGCCCACTGCCGACATATGACTCCATGGTCAGCGTCCGGTTTCCGTCTCAGCCATGGGCCTACCGCAGGGCAGGACACTACACCTTCCGCGCCCACAGCTGCCTGAGCCGTCCGCAGCTGTGGTCACAATTCCCCTTCTCCCTCCCATGGTTTTCTATCCGTGCAGGGTGGCCTGGCGGGCAGGCGGACAGGGGACCAAGAGGCTGGCGGGACAAGGTCCGACCCCCACCCTGGGATGCGTCCCAAATGAAGCCCTCCCCCACGCGGGCGCCTCAGAGCCGCGGGGCAGGCCACAGCTGAGGCCCCCAGGGGCCCGCCTACCTCTTCTGCTTGACGGTGATGCCCTTCTGCTTCAGAGCTTTCTCGTTGGCCATCTGCAGGAGCTGGATCTCCTTGCGGGAGAAGAGGCGGATGGCGAACGCCTTCTCCAGCAGCTTCTCCGGAGACACGGTCTTGGCGATGTCCCTGACGAAGGTGCGGATGTCCTGCTTCACGCTGTCCGACTCCGGCGGCTGCCCGGCTCTCACCTTGTGGAAGAACTTGAGGATGGCCAGTGCCACGCGGTACAGCACCTTGTAGCCCTCCACCAGGAAGACGTCGAAGACGCGGGCAAAGTGGCTGAGCGGCAGCTCCCCAAACAGCCAGCGCTGCCAGTCTGCATAGACCTGCAGCACGTCCTCGGACACGGCCACCATCAGCTTGTGGGCCGCCTGGCAGTACTTGTTCACCAGGTCCCCAAAGGTCATGCAGGAGGACTCAAAGGCCAGGAAGCTCTGGTCCACCAGCTTCCTGCTGGGGTCGTTGCAGGCCAGGATGCGGCAGGCGTTCTCGAAGCACTGGGCCTCGTCCGCGCTGTAGTGCAGCAGCAGGGCCACGACAGCGGGCAGCGCAGGGCAGAAGGACACGTCCGGGAACTGGTTGGCGATGCACAGCAGGATCTTGCGCACGGCGCCTTCGCCGCGCGGGTTCAGGCAGTAGCTGGGCACCTGCGTGTTGTCCACGAACTCGGGCAAGGGCAGGCTGCTGCCGCTGTGCTTGCCCACGATCTTGCCCACGATGTCGCTGTACACGCTGGCGTCTGGCGTGACGGTGCGGCAGGGGATGTCCCGGATCAGCCGCTGGTACACCTTGCCGCGCAGGGCGTAGCTGCGGGCCCAGTAGCCCTGGCGGGCCAGCGGCTTCAGCTCCTGCGGCTCCGTGCAGCTCAGCTCCTTGGGGCCCAGGTCCTGCACGGCCGCGTCCATCTTGTCTCTGTCCACAAAGCAGTTGTACCCCGGGGGGTCCATGGTGCAGGGCGCCCGGGAGGAGGGTCCCAGGCCGCCAGGCGGGGCAGGGAGCTTTGAAATCCCCAGCCCCCTCTCCGAGGCCTCGCGGCTAACCAGTTTGCCACCCCATACCCTGTTGGATTAAAAGTCAGGCTTAATATATCCGTACGAAGGTTCGTGTTTTTTGGTTTTTCTTTTTTAAGGTTAATTTATGTATTTATTTATTTGAGAGAGGGAGAGAGAGTGCACGCACACAAATGGGAGAGAGGAGGAAGCCGGCTCCCCACTGAGCAGGGAGCCCGATGCGGGGCTCAATCCCAGGACCCCGAAATCATGACCCCAGCTGAAGGCAGAGGCTCAACCCACTGAGCCAGCCAGGCGCCCTGAAGGTTCATGTTTTAAAGAACGTGTTCTTGTTTTAATCTTTCTATAAAGTATTTGATGGGTTTCCATTTAAGGTAAGTGGATATTGGGTGCCTGGGTGGCTCAGTCAATTAAGCATCTGCCTTCAGCGCAGGTCATGATCCTGTAGTTCTGGGATCAAGTCCCGCCTCGGGCTCTCTGCTCAGCAGGGAGCCCGCTTCTCCCTCTGCCTCTGCTGCTCCCCTGGCTAGTGTTTTCTCCCTCCCTCTCTCCCTCGCAAATAAATAAATAAGATCTTTTAAAAATATATATAAGATAAGTAGATACTTTGAGAATTCACTATGAACTCTGCAGTAGAATTTCTTTCCATGGGTCTTATGCTATTACCAGAGTAGGTCACACAGACTAAGGAGAGGCTAGGGCTGAGTTCCCCGAAGGGCCAGGCCAGATGGACCCACTCAAAACAGCTCTCCACAGGGTGGGGGAGGCCCACCAGTACCCCCTCCTGCCCCCCATATTACCCTGTGGTCATTGGACCACTGCACCCCAGCGAGTCAAGAGATGCTTGGTCTCCGCCCCATCAGGTGTTGGCCCTCTGGCCCTGTGCTCCACTGGGTACTGGCCCTGCCCCTCCCCACCCCACATCAGCATGCAGAGGCCAGACCTGAACTCTCTAGAAATGCTAGCTAGCTTTCGGGTGGAGAGACATCGCAGCTGGGGAGCAGACATGAGGGCTGCGAAACCCAGTGAAGCAGTCATAGCTTCTCCATGAAGACATTTCTGGGTCTGAATGGGCCCGAGGCCCTGGGGGATTCGGTACGGCCCCTCCTCTGTGGGGAACCACAGAGATCCAGGCAGACGGTACCCAATGGGTACGCGGTGCGATCTCTCTCTAGCTAGCAGGTCACCAGTGCAGGGGACCCCAACTTAACATCTGTCTTTGCCAAAGGCTACTGCCCTCGGCTACGTCTGCCTCATACCTCAGACCAGCCTTTCCGCCTGGGACGGTACAAGGGGACAGAGGGCTCAGGGCTCTGCTTTAGCGGGTTTCAGTAAATGGCCAGATCATTCCGGTTTCTCCTGTACCTAGAACACTCATCTGAAAATATAAAAAGGAAGTCACGCCTTAAGAACGAGGAGTGGAAATTAAAGATACACAGTAGAAAACCTGTAGGGGTGAGAAGGCAGCTGGAGAAAGCCCCCTGATACATTGTTTTTCATTGTGGCAAAATATACAGAAGATTTACATTTTAGCCATTTTCAAGTGCCCAGTCCGGAGACATCAGAACATTCACACAGTCCTGCAGCTCTCACCACTGTCAGTCCCCAGGTCGTGCTCCTCTTCCCCAGTTGAAACTCTGCCCCCATTAAACACGGACGCCCCCTCCCTAGCCCCTGGCTCCCACCCTTCTATCTCTGTCTCTACGAACGGGACAGGTTTAGAGCCTCACAGAAGTCGCATCGTACACGTTCGTCATTTTGTGTCTGCTCCATTTCACTCAGCACTACGCCCTCAGGGCTCATCCACGTTTATAGCGTGCATCATAATTTTTCTTAATTTAAGCTATTTTTTAATTCTTTATTTTTATTTATTTATTTTTTAAGATTTTATTCTGTAAGTCCTAGCTATACCCGTCAGTCGGGAACTCCTGACCCAAGGGCGAGAGCTGAACGCTCTACCACCTGAGCCAGCCGGGGGCCCCAAGACTATTTTCCTAGAGCAGTTTCAAGTTCACAGAGAAGTGGAGAGGAAGGCACAGAGATCTGTCACCCCCTGCCTGCACTCCCCCCAGACTCGTGCATCACCAGCGCAGCTCAGCACTTAGCAGTCTGCGTGAACATGCCATCGCTACGTGAAACCTGCAGGGTGACAAGGCTTCACTCCTCGTGTACCTTCTAGGAGGCGGGACGAATGTATGAGGACATGTGTCTTCACGATACAGAGTATTTTCACTGCCCTAGAGTACCTCTGTGCTCCACCTGTCCATCCTGCCCTCCCCCAATCATAATGTCCTTCCTCTTTACGCCTAAAGAATATTCCACATGTGGCCGGAACATGCTGTGTTTACCCCCCATCTGTCAGCTGGCACGGGTCGCTCCCGGCTCCCGGGAGCAATGCTGCTACGAACACGGGCGTGCCGGGGTCTGCCAGAGCCCAGACTCCAGCTCTCCTGGAGATGTATCTATCAATGCTGCTCTTCTCCGAGCTTCCCCCCACAGAAAAGATGAGCTAACCTAAGGTTTTGTGGCAACACCCGTTTCACGGGTCCCACCAAGAAGTGCCTCACCCACAGCGGGACTGGCCTGCTGCTGGGCTGGAGCCTGCCTCTCCAGAGGAAAAGACGCCTTCATGGAGCCGGTAAGTTTGCTCTGCCCTGTGTGCGAAAGGAGCCGGGCCCGTCCCCAGGCCCTAAAGAGCCACGTCCAGAGCCACACCCAGGTGGCACTCCACAGCCCCCATGGGCAAATTACCTATAGGTTTGTGGGGCTTGGGTTTTTTTGTTTTGTTTTTAGTTTTTATTTCTTTATTTGAAGTCCTCTCTACCCCCCGACACAGGACTCGAACTCATGACCCTGAGATCAAGAGTGGCACGCTTTTTGGCTGAACCAGGCAGGGGCCCCACCTATAGGGTTTACATCCTTCATTCTAGGCTCTGGGCCCGCTAACCTGTGAAGGGGACCCCAGACCCATCCTGTGTGTATGAAAAGTAACAGCTGCTTCTCGGGGCAGTAAACATGTTTATAAGCAGAACAAGAGCCGGGCTAGACAGCACTGAGCCTCACTCAGCCACTCACTCAGTGGTCTCGTCTGCTGCAGCAAAGAGCTTAGGGACGGGCACACCGGATCTGGAGGAAGTCCGAGGCAGGGGTGTGCTCCCTGGGCCTCCACAGGCCTTCTCCTCCAGCCCCACCCGAGACAGAGCAGGGGACTCCGCGGTGGGCAGGCCAGGCCTGCAGCAACTGCTCTAGGCACCTGTAACACCAGATTCACGGTGGTTTTCTTATTTGTTGTTTTTAAACAGGAATGCAGCGGTACCTGGGTGGCTCAGTGGGTTAAGCCACTGCCTTCGGCTCAGGGCATGATCTCAGGGTCCTGGGATCGAGCCCCACATCGGGTTCTCTGCTCAGCGGGGAGCCTGCTTCCCCCTCTCTCTCTCTGCCTACTTGTGATCTCTCTGTCAAGTAAATAAATAAAATCTTTAAAAAAATAAACAGGAGTGCATCGTCACAGAAGGGGCCAATAATACAAAAGGACAGAACAGAAATGTGAAGCCCTGTTCCAGTCCCTCACCTCAATCCTACCCCGTCTTCTACCTAAGGCCAATCACTACGCACGTTTTAGCGCATATCCCACAAAACCTTTCCTTCGATTGACACGCACACTCATTCACAACCATGTTAGACGGTGTAAGCTACCGGCAAAGAGATGTCCAGGGATAGGAAACACACTGAACATGTAAGAACATAAAAACTCTTCTGGGTTGAATACTGGTGCCCTGGAGGTAAGCTCTGGAGCTGACCTGTCTGTCCCCCCAGATTCTCCTCCTGCAGCTTGCGGCTACCACACAACACTGTCGGGATGTGGGAAACAGGGCCTCTGCTCCCCTTGCCCCCCCCCCCCCACCCGGGGCTGCCCCAGGGGCCAGGAAGGAGGAAGGAGGAAGGAGGCCAGGCTTCCACGTCCACACATAGGGGTCAGTGTGGAGAAGGGAGGCAGGAGCTAGTGCGGGAGATGGTCCAGTGTTGAGTCCGATAGGCCTGGCTTCCAAGTCCAGCTCTGACAGCCTGAACCTCACACGACCCATGCCTCTTCCCCAAAGGACACGTGCCTACCCAGGAGACAGAGCTGATAAGTATACCCCACCTCATGGGCATGGGTCCTCCTGCAACACCAGGGGTTAGGAGGGGTGAGCTCACGCTCCGGGTTCACCGGCTGGGGTGTGAGCAACACCCAGCAGACAAGTACACCCCACTCTCTCTCATGTCCCCTCATCCATGCTCCCCGCCATGGCTCTGCTACACAACCCCTGCCACTGTGCTCTGGTTGTTCTGGACGCCCGGCCCATGGGGCCCTGCCACCACATAAACCCCCTTCCTTGGGCCTCCAATGCAGAAGCGGGGGAATGACTTTTGATCACAAACGCTGCACTCACCTAAACGCCACCCCCCCCCCACCCGTCTCAGGCTTGCTGCAGAGCAACAGGGCGGGGGTTGGGCTGGTTCTCAGGGGACACCTCTGACCAGCCCCGTGGGAGGAGGCTGGCTCCCGCTGCCTGTGGCTCCCTGCATTTGGCATGTAGGGAAGTACTTGGTACGTTCTGTCCTCGGCTCTGGGCCTAGCCTGCCAATTCCGGGAAAACTGAAAAAACTCCTTTTGATATCCTTTCAGATTCACCAGAAACCGACTGATGGCTTCAGACACCTGGGGACACGGCGTCCCCAGCAGGCGACGACCACTAGAGTAATCAGGGTGGACTTCTCTCAATTTGAGCTCAAGTGACGAGAAGGAAGCAGCCAAGAGAGCTGAGGAAAGGTCACTGTGGACAATGAGAAGAGCAAGTGCAAAGGCCCAGAGGCAGGAGCACGCTGGTGAGCTCCAGGAAGGGGAAGGCGTCCAGAATGGCCAGAGCACAGCAAGCAAGGCAAAGAGCAGCAGAGACTTCCGGGGCCAGATCGCCCACAGGGAGGAGTCTGGATCTCCTTCTAGGTACAGCCGGAAGCAGGAAAGGATGTGATCCAACCACTGTACTTAAAAGCCAATTGTTATGAGGATTAACGAAGACTGTTTATAGAAAGCACTCAGCCTAGTCTGGCTCACAGGCAGCTCACATGTCCCTGGGGCGTCTCCTTATTGCTCCACAGAGTTCCCTGGCCTGGTACAGGCTCAGGGACATCTGGGGAGGGCTAGGGACCCGGTGGGTCATCCCTTGATCAGTCCTGCAGAGGGGCCTGAGTATGGCTCCTTCTGGTGGGGGAGGTTCTCCCACAGGCCTACCCAAGACCCTGGCTCGCTCTTTAGGGACAGTCGCTGCAAAGGGCCTCTTCGACAGACCTGCTTCCCCCACCCCTGCAAGCCCCCTCCAGTGATCCTCACAAACACCGTGCCTGTTTTGAGGGTCCAGACTACCTATATAAAGGAAGCAAATTATTCTTTTTTTTTTAATTTTTGTTTAAAGATTTTATTTATTTATTGGACAGACAGAGATCACAAGTAGGCAGAAAGGCAGTCAGAGAGAGAGGCGGAAGCAGGCTCCCTGCTGAGCAGAGAGCCCGATGCGGGGCTCGATCCCAGGACCCTGAGATCATGACCTGAGCCAAAGGCAGAGGCTTTAACCCACTGAGCCACCCAAGCGCCCCAGGAAGCAAATTATTCTTAATAAAAAATAAAAGAGGTGCCTAAATAAAATCTTTAAAAAAATAAAAAAGTAAAAAATAAAAGAGAACTCTGGGGGCCCCTGGGTGGGGCAGTCGGTTAGGCATCTGACTCTCGGTTTCAGCTCAGGTTGTGATCTCAGGGTCTTGAGATCAAGCCCCACATCAGGCTCTAAGCTCACCACGGAGTCTGCTGGAGTTTCTCTCTCCCTCTGTCCCTCCCCGCACTTGCTCACTCTAAGTAAACTCTAAAACAAAATCCAGAACTCTAAGTGGAAATGAGTGACCCCCATTTCCCCCAAATGTGATGTTGCTATGCTGGTGACAGCTTGGTCCGCCTCCCCTTCCTGTCATGATGACCACTGTGCCCTCTGGCCATGTACTCTGTCCCGGGTAAGCCAAAGGCAGGTTGACATTAGGCTGTGGTGAGATTTGATGCACGGGGGGGTCCTCCCCACAGGCCCCACCAGGACGGCTGTTTCTGGGGAGGGAGTTCCTAGGAGGAGACACTTCTGCTGGGTGCACCCCATGGGAGTTCAGATCAACCCCAACCCTGTCCTCCAGGGCAACAGGAAGAGAAGGTACTGGCTGGGCTAAGAAGCAAGGCAAGAAGACAGAGCAGAGATGGTGGGAGGGACAAGACCTCCTTGCGTGACAGTGGGGCAGGAGAGGCTGAGGAACAACGAGCCAGCAGCCCCGTCCAAGCCGGACCCCTCCCATCTCAGT